AGATTTTGAATTGGTTCTTTAACAACTCAGTGGAAAGATTGCCCACTATGATGCCCACCCTGATATGAGGTCAAGGTTTAATTTCTTGTTTAATACTTGAGTTCTAATTAAAAGTATAGACATACAATTTTACATGATTTGTTCATATTTATTTCAGATACCAACTGAATTATTCAGTCTGCCTATATTATTTTTGTACATTAAATTACAGTATCAATTCAACAAAGGTGTGCTTACTTTGTGTGTGATTCTACTGGCCTTATATGATTACACAGCAATAGCTGTTATTAATCCAAAGCAGGGGCATTTTTTGTCTTTACACAATTTGTTTATATTTCTTTCAGGAGCAAATATTCTTCGTGACTCTGCAGGCAATGTTAAGTTAGGTGATTTTGGTGCCAGCAAACGGCTTCAAACAATTTGTCTATCTGGTACCGGAATGAAGTCTGCTACAGGAACTCCATACTGGATGAGTCCAGAAGTGATTAGTGGGGAAGGATATGGAAGAAAAGCAGATATTTGGTAAGTCTTACATTACTTTTCACCTGGAATGTATTGGAAATAATTCTTGCATACTATTTGGGGAGCCCCTAAATGTACCCACAATGCTGCATTAAGATTAGGCCTAGGACTGATAACAGTAGAGATCAGAATTTGGTTTATGAAAATTATATCAATATCAATAATCTGGTTTTATCCCTGATTTGTGCATGATAAACACTCACATTTTATACATAAAGTAGAGCAGAAAATGCCTAATATAGGTTTAAATCCTTAACTATCATTGAACAGTCTAAGGCAAAGAAAAATGTTAAACAATACCTCCAGGATATTGCAATCCAATATGATAGAGAAGTTAGAGAATGATCTTTAATTATTGACAATTTAGAAATTCTCCATAAGTTGACAAACAATCTCTGTAGGTTTATTTAAGCCAAACTGAGGAGGACATTTACACTAGGTCATTTTATGTGATGTCCACAGCAGTTTTATAGGGTCGTCATGTGGGCATTCCTTTTTCTAAACAGCTTTGCCCTGTGTGGTTCTAGAGAGTAGAAAATGTTGGCCATGCCATTTTATAGGAATACCCATTAGTCATACTTGTTACACTAATTTTACTATGTTATGTAGCTTAGTCTGCTTCCTTCTATAGTTTTTCATTACTGGCTAATACAAACCATGAAACAAACTTCAGGTTGCAATATCCGTATACATTATGAGAATTAGAACTTGAAGAAAAGTGGCATAGTCTTTGATTCAGGATTATTACCTTAAAGAAAATAAGATGATGTGGTTTTCAAAGAAATAGTAATGTGTTACTAAGATTTTTTTTCAGAGATAAATGTTCCTATTACCTTGCTGTGAGTGTCCTTTTTACTATAAATTCTGATGAAGATACATTTATGGTGTGTGTTCAATAGTAAAATTATATTTCAGTCATTGGAGCTTTAGAGGAAACTCAAAGTAGAGTGGTCAGTATTTAAACTGGGTGCAGATTTCTCTGATTTTCAAAAAACAGGATAATTGTTATAAATTGAAAATGAATAAATTCATCAGGGTGAAATACAGAACAATTGAGCTAGTATAGGATTGGATCTAATTGTTTGGTGAATGGAATTTTGTCTCTAACAATGTCCCAGTGCAGTATGAAGCAGAGAAATAAAAAAAAAAAATCCTGGTTATTTCTGTGTACTATTTGTTTAGTCCTGCAGTTTTGGAGGATAAGAACAGCAGAGTGATGAACGCCTTGGGCATTGCAATGAAAACATTAAAATTGGTTGAATCACCTCACTTTTGTTTTCCCTTCCCCCTTCTTCCAGTAGAAACATGAACTTGGTAACATTGAAAAAGCAAATCTGTCTCTACCCAAATGAAATCTTAACGTAAACTTGCATAGAGATATAAAAAGCTTTTCTTTTGGTGGGACCATATATTATGCTTTGCTTATCTTTCCAGATAGTCTTAATTTTAATTTGCTTTTCATTCTTGTTGCAGGAGTGTAGGCTGTACAGTTGTTGAAATGCTTACTGAGAAGCCACCTTGGGCAGAATTTGAAGCAATGGCTGCCATTTTTAAAATTGCCACACAGCCAACCAATCCCCAGCTGCCACCTCACGTCTCAGACTACGGTCGGGATTTTCTAAAGCGGATATTTACTGAGGCTAAGTTGCGACCATCTGCAGATGAACTGCTGAGACATACATTTGCACATTATCACTGATGGCCTGCCTCAATCCCTCTCACCTACTGCATTTTTTACTGCACTTTTTTTTATACAGAGTTGAAAAAAGACAAGGGAGAAATTATTTCTCTTGATTCTTTCTTTCATATAAAATTGTTAAGATCTCTCTGCATATTTAGAATGCAGATTTTTTCCCATTTAAATCTCTTTTGTTTCAGTAATGTACTGATGTGGTTTGCATAAAGCACTTTAGTACATATTCATTCCTTATTTAAAGGGGTAAAGAATTTATTTGGACCATCAGGAATCATGTATAAGATTTTCCCCATCCCTATTCCCTGGCAAGCACTGCTAATTAACTCCCAAGGCTGGGAAGGTACACGTCACTAGCAGATTCAGAAAAGCAGTATATATCCAGTGGTTGCAGTGTATAAATAGATAACAAAGAGCTCTCAATTATATTTGAGCTTTGAAATAAGTTTCATCTGTGATTCTGGAAATTCATTTAGAAGCTAGAATCTCAGGTTGCTGAGCAAGGTACATTTTGGAAAATAAACCATCATATTAGCACAAAAATGTAAACCAAATAAGTGTTCTGCTTTGAAAGATAAGAAGCCTGTTGTTTAATAGTGCTAGTGCATTAATGTTGTATATCCAGAATCATAGATAAACAGTTTGCTGTAGTATCAGACTTCTCTAAAGTTAAACAATGCCCACATATCATGCAACATACTGATTTTCAGGGTTGGAAACAGAGTTGATCTGTGAGGAGTCTCTAATGGGTAAAATGAAGTTTATTTCATGCAGCATAATTCTGTTCATATTAAGAATATGTTCCATATTCTTTCTTCTGTCCCAATTATTCTTCTGATTCCCTAAAATATTTTATAAGATCCAGGATTTTTTTTCTATTAGTTTTATCATAAAATACTTAAGGTAGAATTGGCAGGAGTGTCAAAAATACAGTTTCTCCTTCTGTTGCTGCTGAACTGAATTTTGTGTCTGAGATGCATATTTTATTTGTCAAACCTCCTTTGCATAATCTGACTAACTTGCACTGGATTGACTGTGTAGAATTAACTTTGCGGGTTGCAAATGCCTTACTAATTTGCATTGGAAAAGCAAGTTTGGTAGAATGAGATCTGGAAGCTCCCATGTGTATCTATACTATATAATTCAGTTACAGGTGAAGAAGAAGGAATATGTAATACAGATAGAAAAAAAAAGACCTTTTCACTCCCAGTTGTTTTTTTAATGTATTTATTTAGATATTTTACTTTTGATTTAAATAATAATAAAGGAATAATCAGATGTGGGATTATTGTCCCAATTGTTTCAACCCATATTTGGACATCTTAATACAATAGAACTGTAGAATGTATGTTTGCTGACTGGCCCTTTAGGATATGTCTAGCACCAAACAATAAAAGTAATTGGAAAATGGGAAAGATGCTTCCATTTTTCAGAAGTAAACATTACTATTAATTGTTGTAAACATTACTATTGTTTCCTAGGCTTTCTGCAAAATGTCCAAAGCAAGTCAAATTGTACAAAGATAGATACTATAATAATGCTATTAAATCTGACCAACAATTACATATAAAACATAAGTTACATAAGTATGAATCATAAATTACATATATACAACAATATAAATGTGCATATATAATTTATGGTTCATATTTACATAATGCTCCTGGCACCTTAATCGTGACTTGGTAACCTGAGTTTACAGCCTTTATTTATTGTTAAAATAAGTTCAGATATATAAAGCCTGCACTTCTGGAAAGTGTCTCTTAGACATGCTGAACAGAAGTAGGCAGCCCTGATCCATATAGTCTTTCCCCAACTAAAATGTAATTTCAACAGCAGATCACCAATAAATAGAAATGTATTTTTTCCATTTTTTTATAGAACTAGGGAAATCTTTTAACTTTAATATCCCAAAACCAACAACCACCAAAGAATTGTACAAATAATCCTAGCGTTATACATTTTGGTGGTGTTGCTGCCCTCTTGATTGCAGCACTCAGCTGCAGCCATTAAATATGGCTGTTGTTGTTGGAAGTTGACTATACATTGTTAAAAGTAGATGGAACATTGCTTATGTCTATAGTTGTGAAAGAATTTAAATTAGAGAAGCAAATGTGGCTTGAACAAACAAATCATCTAAAAATAATACAACTTACTGAATTGTTTTCTAAGGGCCTTAATTTTTAACTTTTGAAAGTAATGGAAATGTTTCTATAAGGAGGTCAGGATTTACAACAACATGTAAAAAGGAATCATCATTGTTATGACTCCTTTCCTGTAACCCTTCAGTCTGTTATGGTTCTGTATAGAGCTGTGTTATCTTACATCTGAGTACAGGCTGTCTTTTCCTGGTCCCTGTAAGGAACTCTGTAAGATTCTGAATTTGCTAAACTTCCATCAAGCTATAGCTATGCAAAGTATGTAAAACATGAAAATGTGCATTACTTGGTCCCAAGTAGGCTAAAGGAGAGACCACAAGAGAAGTCCTTCTCCCACATTTACCAAGCTGTATATATATATTAACAGTTTTATCAAAATTCTGTGCTCTGCTCAATTAACAGGGCTTTCAAATGTTTAAAATCTAGCAGTCAGACAATCATTGCAGCCTCTGAGTGACCTCTGAACAGCACTGTTGCACCAGTTCAAAATTATTGAATGAAAATATTTACTTATGTAGACTATTTTGAAGACAGGTTTAATGAACCTTCTTATTTCAGAAGGTAGTATTTAAAGCAACAATCCTAAATGCATTAAGGAATGAGTTACACTGAATACAGTGATACTTTTTCTTTTTAGCAAATATGCATAGGATTAAGATGTTGGAATTTTTTTTTCTCTAAATATGAAGCAGAGCCTTAAATTATTTTTTTGCAGGGAGACAGGAATCAAACTCCATCCAGACATTTCTAGTTTAACTGGCAACACTAATCAGCTATATTTTTAAACAGAAATTTACAAAGTCCCGTTTTAGCTATAAAACAAGAACGTGATACTGTTGGAATAGAATTACTGGCTGCCCCTCCTTGCTTTTTTACTATGTAAAAAACAGTCTGTTTATGGTGCTTTTCTGCTATAATTCGATCTCACTTGGATCGGCTTTATCCCATCATGCCTTTGTGGAGTTTAGAAGCTTAGGACAGTGAGTTGTTAAAATTATACTAGGGCAGTGATGGCGATGGGCTCAGCATGCCAAAAATTCAGAAAATGCCAACATTGACTTTGCTGGCATCTCACACTTCCTCCCTCCCCCAATCAGAGGCCTGTCTGGACTCCCCTCTGGATTCTTCTCATCCTGTGGAAGACACATGAGAGAGCCCTGCTCTTGGAGGGCCTTTGAAGCCTCAGAAAAATCCCCCTTGTGTGATTTTCTGAGGCTCCAGAGGCCCTCCGAGAGCACAGCCTTCTTATGCAACTCCTAGAGTATCTGGAGGCCTGATGTATCATGAAAAATGACATAGCATATTATAGATTAGCTTTTGCTGTACTAAGTCTTTGAGGAGTCTGGTGCAGCGCTAACCTGATAATCTGCAGGTCTCATGTTCACATGATGTATGATACTGTGGTAACAACTGGTACAGAGGGTAAATGTGATTATGTAGAAAGTGTTGACTTTCTTCATGTCCCTGATTTGGGGTGTGAAATACATTTTTTTATACAAAATAATAAGTGCTGACATCAATTGAACTTTGGGGAAGGCTTGTTTCTTTTAACAGTTTATTAAACAAATGCATAAGAATAGCTCATGAATTTGTGAATCCCTAAAAGAGGGAAGTATTGTGAAATTTGCAAAATTATGAAGCTCTAAAATGAAAAGAAATAGTCTTTAAAATGGCTATAATTCTATGGAGGAGACAGGTACGAAAGCACTCAGTGTTATGTGATTGAGTAGAAAAAGCTATTAGATGGCTTAAATTCATGCAGAACAAAAACATAATAGTGAGGCAATACTTTTTGCTAATAAATTAGGGGGGGGGAACAAATTTTGAATTTAATATATTCTGAACAGGAATAATTGTGTGATTTGTTTGAATATGGAGTGTAGGAATTGTATTAGGTAAAATGGTGATACAATAGCTCTTTGCCTTTCTAAAGTTATGTGCAATTTAAAATATATTATCAAAATACCTGAGTTACAAGATTTATTTTGCTGTGTATATTTTACATATAATTTCTATACAGAACAATTTACAATGATCATAAATCTATATTTGAAGTAGCATGGGATATTTCAATCCATGCTATTTTTATTCTAGGAAACTAACTAGGGACCCATAATATGCAGATGACATTTCCATTTTATTTTGTGCTTTGTTTAAATATTTGTATAACTTTAGTCCGAGTACTTCTATTATCAAAAGGTAATAATGTGATCTTCAAAGAGTGCAGGTTAAGAATTAGAATATCTTGTAATGTCCAAAGAAATATCTTGAAAGTAGGCAGAGTCCAAAATTGTAGATAATTTGCTCAGCTTGCAGGGCACTTTGTGCTCTTCATATCCATAGTATGGCTGAGGGAGAAAAAGAGAAAAAAACAGCAGCATAAGACTGATAGCTGTTTGTGCCTTCTTTCAATATTATGTTTTGTCTTGACAATGACAATATAAAAGTGCTTTTAAAAAAAGATGGATATAAAGTGGATCCCCAAACACAGCTGTAATGGAGGGAGGTAGCTCAGTTATTAATGGTTTACCCTTAAGCTACAAGTTGAATGGGTCAGTTCCCAGCAATTTGGCATGTAATAATAGAAGTACAAGTCCAGGTTTGGTATGAATTTGTAATTAAAGTTTACAAAACAAAACAAAAAGCATAGTCATTGACAGCAAGCTTGCTATTACAATTCAAGCCAAATTTTGATCATCTTCATTAAATTTACCTTGGACTTCATCAAATGAGGCTGGGGACAACTTATGTTTATAGGCAAAAGTTTCTTAACTAGGAACTTTTAATAATTATATCAATTTAGCTAGAAAGAAAACACTAATATAAAAATACTTAGGTTTCTAAATATCTACGGTGATATTTAGAATCCTTCAAAACTTGCCAATACAAATTGTGTCTATAGACAGTGATTTGTAACCTATTATTTTTTAGTCTTAAAATTTCAAAAGTATAGACATATACAAGACCATCAAACAAAAGCTTGCAAATGACTGCTTTCTCATGAATACTATTTAACAATATTTCAAAGTCTATATATTCTTTATATAATTACAATGATTATGAAAAAATGGTATGGGAATATGTCACATTCAAATAATTATTCTAAAATGAAACTAGAAACACTAAAGGGAAAATTGATATCCCTCAGAGCTGAGTAGACATAAGCTACGTATAGCACATAACCACATATTTATTTGTTTTAAAAATGAAGAGAAATGTGTAGCTGGCTTTTCTACTACATAAAAAAATAATTCAGTATATAGTATTATTTTTCAGCCCATTTGTGCAAGATTTAATGGGGGTCCAACTGCATTATAAATCATTGCTGAAACAGATGGTTCAAACCCAGCCATGAAGCATAACTAAGGTTCAGAAAGAAAAATGCAGGATCATACATAGATGTTATGTTTCTGGGTACAATCCTGAATTGTTGTGCCAATCATAAATCCAAATATTCATTTCTTTATTTCCATGTATGACATGGAGCACCCATCAAAGGTAGATCTTGGAGCCCTAGCTTTCTAGCAGCCATAGATACATGGAGCATGCAACAAGCGTTTTTCTAAACCACAAATTAAATTAAGCATCTTGAAGCCTGATATTTTTCATGAATTTGCAAGTGACAAGGAGGCTTGGCATGAAGTCTGGCCAGTACCTTCAGATATATAGGATTTAGATTAAGAAAATAGGTGTTTTGATAAATTAGAAAGTCTAAATTAAAAAAAAAGGATTATGATAGTCTCCCTGATGAAATTTTAACTTTTAGAATAAGCTTTACTACTTAATTTTTAAGAAGTATGGGTTACACACAGTGGATTAAAATGTTCTTGTTATACTAACAAAGCATTCAAAGACATCTGAGTGCCTTTATCTTTATGCCTTAAGTTTATTTTCTTAGCATATTGATTACAGAAAAGGTTCAAATCACATAGGACCACTTACTAAGTAGCATAATAATTTTTCCCTTTCCTTTTTAAATTAACAAGGGAGTATTTACAACAACAATTTTTATCAGAAATACACACACACACACACACACACACACACACACTTGCAAGCCTTGCTTTTAAAAATACTGATAGTATGTTAAACCTTTAACCAACCAAACATGTCATTAGTTTTAAACTAAGCTGTTAAAAATATTCCAAGTTCACTAATTTCAAATGGAGAAATTAATAGCACTTAAACTTAGATATGATGATAATCTTTATTTTTAACCCTAGAACTGTAACACAGAAATTCTATGTACATGCAAATTATTTAATTCTAGAAAATCAGCAGCTCGTGTGAACTGAGAATGATTTTAGTGGTACTTTCTTTTAAGGAAGTATTTGCTTAAAGCAAGTTACAGTATTGGTTTTGAACAGGAAAATCAGATTTGATTTCAAATAAGGTATTTGTATTGTATTAATGCCATGTAGCT